CAGGCAAAAGTACTTGTGGCTGTGTTAAAGATGAATACAATACACAAACACACACACACACACACACACACACACACACACACACACACACACACACACACACACACACACACACACACACACACACACACACTACGGAATCATCGTTGCCTCTACAGTCCTTAACAACAAATACAGTACTAGAAGCTACATCAGCCACAACAGCTGCAACTCACCACTTGAAGAGCACGTTCCTCACGACGGAACATCCGAGCAACAAAATCGGACGGAAAATCCAAGAAAGCCAGAAAGCTAATAAAGCGCGCACGGCACTTCCCTCAGCATTGCCACCTGTATATTCAGGGCCACGTGCGCGGTCAGAGGCCAGAGTGCGTGAGAGCGAAGTATTGACGGCCAGAACGGGTCACAGGCGTCGTGGAGAAAGCAAAAGAAAGGAAAACAATTTCACCTTCGCCTGAAAAGGAGAAACTGAACTCGCATTTCGGAGTTTGATGTTGCATTACGTAGATCTGCCGCTGCATTGGAAAACGAGACTGGGAATGCATAAACTGCAGAAGCGGAAAGCGCATGCAGAATCTCCTGAACTTTATGGAAAAATTCTCCGGGCCAATACGACCTCCTCCAAGCAGTTGGAGACGTCAAGGATTTCTTAAAAGATACAAACTCTTGTTAAGGGACAACAGCCGTTGTTCTGCCTTTTTTTGCAAGAATAAATTTTTTGGCAATATTGTTACGGGTCTGGTCATGCATCCTCGACACTATCTATCTGTCTGGCTCTTCCACATGCGAACTCACGCACACCTTCAGCTCTCATCACTCCAATTTCTTCCTCCCCCTCCTCCCCTCCCCTCCCCTCTCCCTCTTGTTGTTTGTCTGCTGTTTGTATGTCCACCTGCTTGTCCTTCTGCATGTCTCTTTTTGGTTGGACTGTCTGTCGATCTACCTACCTACCTACCTACCTACCTACATACCTACCTACCTACCTACCTGTCTGTCTGTCTGTCTGTCCGCCTGTCTGTCTGTCTGTCTGTCTGTCTGTCTGTCTGTCTGTCTGCCTTTCTGTCTGTCTGCCTGACTACTTGCATTTTCTATCTCTCACTCGATAGACTGATTGCTAGATAGACTGTCCACGCGCTATTCATGTAACGTCACTGGCGTGTAACAAAGATATCACGTTTCACACAAAACGCATCTCTCTGTAAGTGATAACAAATTATTTGTTCAAACATTCTTCATTTCATTTCATAAACGTGATCGTTAGGAAATCTGTCAGTTGAAATGAAGTAAATGATGCCAATGAAAGACGAAACTCAGAAGAGAGGAGAGAAAATAGTTCGAGAAAGAGGGATGGACGGAGTGGAAGGGAAGGATGGAAGGAAGATGGGAAACGATACACTGAAAAGGAACAAGGGAAACATTAAGGCGGTGTCAGAAGATGATCAGAGACGTCAGGGGGAACAGAAAAATGAAAAAAAGGAAAAGAGAAATCTGAGGGCTGGTGATGCAATGATCGACACATACACACTAGGATCAATAAAGTGTCGAGCGCTTTGTCCCACAGACACTTGTACGTTGGGGACAGGGGAGAGGGGGAGGAAGGGAAGCCTGTAGGACTTTGGAGTGACAGGTGAATAGAAGCACACTACAGAATAAACAGAGGACCAGATAACACAGAGGAGGGGGCTATCTGGGAATCCGGGAGGAGGCTCCGTGGGGATCCGGGAATGGGGGGAGGGGGTGCTAGAGGGAGTGTTGCTAGCTTAAGGGGCTGGAATATCCATTGGGAATATCCAGAGTTAGGTGGCCACGGATCGAAGAGCAGTGTCTATTGGCGGAGTGTGTAGGACCAGGGATTGCACGAGATAAGACTGCGCAACTGGAAACACAGCCTGTGTAGGGGCTCGACGTGGGGCTGCTAGAGGGAGTGTTGCTAGCTTAAGGGGCTGGAATATCCATTGGGAATATCCAGAGTTAGGTGGCCACGGATCGAAGAGCAGTGTCTATTGGCGGAGTGTGTAGGACCAGGGATTGCACGAGATAAGACTGCGCAACTGGAAACACAGCCTGTGTAGGGGCTCGGCCGGAGGAGGGGAGAGCAGGGTGGACTCACGCCGACTGTGCGAGGAACTATGGGAAGGTTGGCAGGAAGGTAGAGAAAACGAGGCAGAAATGGAGAGAAAAAAAGGAAATAAACAGAACGAGAGAGTGAAGGACGGTATCTGTAGGGTTGGAGAGTGTCCAACGGAGGATAGGATCGGTTCATGGAGAAAACAGCAACACTATATGGAAAATAATCCCTTTAATTTCATCTGATTAAATACTTATTCTATTTGCTATACCTACCACGGTCCAGAAAAAATATGCAGGAGATCCCCTTTTTTGGACACCTGTTCATGCACGCGCCTGCCTGCTCTCATTAATTAGTCGGACCGGCGAAATTTCCCCCAATCAGCTCCCTCCGCACTCACTTCCCGCGGGTACATGAGCACCTTTTATCGCC